TGGTTTTAGCTCATTGAATTTAGCACTGACCTAGTTACCAAATCAGCTAGTATTAATGAATATTAGACATTCAAACTGGCAGTATTAAATGCTAATAGAAAGTCAGTAGAAAGGGATTCAGGAAGAAAAATGCTTTAAAAAGTCTAGTTAACTATTAGACTGTGTTGGGAATTGGAGTGTAAATATTCCCTTATTTCACCCTCAGATGAGGGACTTGCCAATGGCTGTTCTGTTAATTTGTATCAAAAGTTTGGAAACTCCAAGTTTCCTAAGTCTAGCTAGGTTGAGCAGTTTATTTGCTGGATCACAGTAATGTGATCTCTTCATTTTAGATTAATGCATTATAAGATATATTTAAAGATTTTCAAAGAATTTGCATCCTATTTCCATTAGGAATTATATTGATAGTGATGTTGAACCCTATGTGACTACACATTGAGGGAAATATGAATTAAGTTGCACTCCTTCACCATAAAGATGCACTGGGGCATTCAGTTCTCTTCTATATAAGTGGCTGCTAAGCAGAGAGGAAAAAAAGCTTTCTATTTTGAGTTCCATTTGTAGGTGGCGCAGTTCAAAGCAACTGCCTTAAGAAGGCTTTCCATCCATTTCCATATCTTATCCTGCCAGCAAGAGAGTTCCTGAAGCTGTTAAAAATGAATAAGTGAATAAATAGGGTTGTGGATGATAGTTTGAGAAGCTCTTAAAAATGAAGTAATGGCTTAGGGGAGGAGAGAGTTTGCAGAGAAAGGTGAATACTGGTGCTGCTTAGGGTTGTGGGGGTGGGCGCGCCTGCACACACACTCTCTCTTTCCCTTTTTTGTTCCCTTTTTTTCCACACACACACCACTCCCTGCTCTCTTTCAATGTCCTCTCTTTCATGTTCCCTCTTTTTTCTCCTGGCTGATGCTTCATCTGCTCTTTCCCCCCTTTTCTTCTACAAACAAGGCCACTCCCATCTGCACAGGAAAAAAAGCGCTTTCAAATTCATCAGGCAAAAAGGACGTAGGTGCCCTTAGGGCTGGTCAGATTCGGGTCAACCTTTGTGTCATACAGGCAGCAAAATTGTCTTTGAATTCACCTGTTTTATAAGTGGAGTAAATCCCAAGGTGTTTGATGGTGTAGTTGGGCTCTTAGTGTAGCAGAGGTTATTGCATTCCCTCCATACATTATGCATCAGGGTGGAGACCTTTGAGGAATTAGGTATCTCCTCCCCAGAGAACGTGATGAGCATTATATTGATGTGTGTTTCATAGTGGAAAACAATTCAGAATGTGTCTTTATGTATTTAATATATGAGGTTCATGATAAGTATTGTTAATCATTAGCATTTTGTAGTGCTTCCGGTATGTCTATTTCCCATCAAATGCCACACCTCATACTAGTGGGAATACTGTCTGCGAACATGACAAATAAGACAGCAGTCCTATGCATTTTTTTCTGGGTATAAATTATACTGAACATAGGCAAGCCTACGTATGGATAGATATGTAAAAGTTTGTGTTGTAGATAAAGGAATAAACAATCACTGCTTATTCAAATAAGCACCCATGTTTAATCTGAAACCTGTCTCCTCTTTTGGGAGTCAGATACTCCTTTTTGAAAAAAAAATCAGTCTATAAATGGTAAGTTGACCACATGAGTATTTAGTATAGTGCTTTGATGGAGGCATTTTATGTGCTCATTTTAAAATTGACTTAAATTGCTGGCCATTTTACATGTCACAATTTAACACTTAAGAATTCAAATACAGCTATACCTTTGCATTTGTTATGAGTGTAGTGAATTTTTCTAATATTAGTACTAAATAAAAGTTCAAATCCAACACCATATTGAAGATAACAAATTTGGTCAAACTATTTTGTTGAGGATAAGGATTTAAGCCCTCTCTGCTCCAGGTTAATCCAAAACGTCTTGCTTCAGAGTTATGATCTGACTTCGTTTTTTATGATCCAGTTTATTGTGTGTGTTTTTTCTTTTTAATGTTGTTCATTGTACATATACTGTATTTGTAAGGCATTTATCACTAGAATGTAAATAAAAATCAAGACTGTCTTTTTTTCCCAACTGGGCAGAATATTGTCACCCAACTATTTAAGAACAGCAACAGATTAGGTATTACTTCCTGAATATCAAAACTGGCTGAAATGCAAACCTCCCTAAAGCGTTAGTACGAACTGGCTGAAATGCAAACCTCCCTAAAGCAGTACATCTTCTATTTTCTTCATAGCCCCTTGCCTTGTGTTTCTGATGCAGCTTCTCAGAGTCCTCTCTTCTTTTACAAAAGCAATTGCTCACCTGCATGAGGGAAATACCTGACATCATTCAAGTTATGGTCCACAGACCAGTCTTTAAATCACATGCCAGTGGTTTGGTGCCTAAAGAGAAGGGTGTTATCAAAGTGCCATCAAAGCACAGTTCTTTGTTTGAACTCATAGTGTAATTTAAAGAAAGGTCTGTTCCTTGTCCAGGTAAGAGTACAAAAATTAAAAAGATCACTTGGTTGCAGTCTTTCCCACAATGGCTAGATGTATGATGTTTCTATTCTATGTATTGTCAATTCTCTATTCTATCTGTATTATTTCCATACAGAATGAATGTTTGCATGTGAATAAGAATATGCAGACTTTATGTCAATCCCTGCCCTCCTTTGCTGTTCTTCTAGGCGATGTGTACATAGCTGTCCTTCCAGATGACCAAAACAGATTCAGCAGGAGAGATCCTTTTTAAAAAGGAATCAATGGCCAAAGTGGTTTCCCTGCTCCTTTTTTAAATATCAGGCAGGCAGGCTGAATTGAAGCCCATTGCCCCACAATCCACCTGCTCAAATTTCTAATTAGAAATCTCACACCAGTCAATGAAAGAGGGCAGGGAGAAAAATCCTTCTTTGTTGTCCAGTGGAAAGCCAGTGCGGAATCCATGTCCCATCCTCCCAGTGTCCCTGTCACAACAGAGCAGTCACATGGGGGCTACCAAACCAACTCCAGCCCCTTTCACGTATCATTGGCAGGTGGTACAAATCAAATAAATAATAATAATAACTCCAGCCCCTTTCAAATATCATTGGCAGGCTAGGAACTGCTGCTCTGGCAACAACTGGAGAACGCCAGATAATCCTGTGTCCCCCTTTTCTGAAATAGTTAATTAAAACAACATTTTCAGTTTCTCAAAAATAACTAAAATTGTTACCTTTTAATTCCTTAAAAAGAGTACACACAAATGCTTCAGTCCTCTGGCCAATGTTACAAAACACATGCTCTCTTCATTGTCAGTTGTTTTCTAATTTATATCGAACCAGCAGGATGCAACAGCACAAGGCACAGTGCAAGCCAGTTATTGAGACGTGATATTCCTTTTCCATTGCAAAGTGAAGCCGCACTCCAGCAAATGTTAAAAAAAGTTATTGCTCATTAATAGTATGTAATATTAAGTAGTTATAACACAATATAATTAGTGACATAGTTACCTTTCTTAATTGGGAGAGAATGAATTAATTATAGGTAACCGGGATATTTTCAGAGCTTTCCATCCCTTCAGAAAAGTTTGGAGTTCCCTCAAGTATTCTTATACCTCCCTTTTTGGGGATATCAGCCTTTAAGAGAAAGAGTTTGCTTTAATATATTGGTTGGCGTGATATTGATAGAGAATATTTTTTCTTCCATTTTTTCAGTGTCTTGGAAGTAGGGAGGAACATTGACAACTTTCTCTTTCTCTCTCTCTCTTTTTTCCAGATACAGAAGAGTAAAAAAATAATTTACATATATAATCAAAAAAGAGACTGCAAATTTCTCTCTTCATTATTCTTCACCTCCTTCCACAAAGACCAATTTCTGGGGAGGGCGTTATGCAGCTTTTCAAGCCACTGCTTCTTTTCCTCCTCCCACTGGCTACTTCGCAGTTAATGACTTTGGGGGCTTTCCCTACACACATTTTGGTTTTTTGGTTTTTTAATTTTGTTTTTGACATGTAAGTGAAGGCTTTGGTTTGTTTTTATTTTTGGAAATGAATTTTTCTCTCGGCAAAATGACTCCTCTTTGGGGACTTGTGGATGAAGCAAACGTGAGACAAATTCTGGCTTGTGGAAATAAAAACAAAATCTGACAGGGAGAAGCTGCACAATGACAGTTCCATTGAAAAAGTCTTGAAAAACACTGTTGTTTCCATGAATTAATTTTCATATCCAAAGAAAGAGAGAAGCAACAGCACTGAACTCTTTATTAATTTGAAGCTGTGATTTAGAACTTTGGCTTTCCCCAATCCCTGTGTCTTTATCTTGTTTTTTTAAAAACAGAAACAACAAAAAGAACAAAAAGGAAAGAAATGTGGCTATTTTACAGACAAGCAAACTGCTGGATTCCTAGGCAGCTTTATAATATTTTCAAGAAATACATTCTGTAGATTCCATTTGCTAGATGTCTCCTTGGTTTGTATCTTATTGTTCATTGGATCCATCATTTTGTTGGTTTAGTACTCTGGGTGAACGCACTACTTGTGTTATCTTCTGTAACAAACACATTTTTTACAAAAGCATATCCATCACTTGATTATTTAGAGTTAATTTGGCATACACCCCTAAGAAAAACCTTTAGGGAAACATATAAACTTCTCCATTGGGATTTGTACAGCACAATATTTCATCATGTAATAATCTGAATTAAAAACTGTTAATTGACCAACATAGGCAAACAAACTATGATGCCCATTCTTCTCAGTCAATTTTATCAAATTTTGCTTAACTGCCTATCAGTTGGAAATAAGTGGATCTTGGAAGTTGCATCTCAACACTGCAAGGTTTGAAAAAATAATAATAAATTCTTGCCCCTATAGATGTGGAATCACTGGGAAAGGGAACCTTGTGTTGTATCACAGGACTATTTGACTCATGATGGAATGTATTGCTCACCATCTTTGAAGTAAATTTCCCCTCACCATGAGGACAATGAACAAGATTATGTGTAAAAGATCTTCTGCCATCATGGATCCATGGTTCAGCTTTGGGCAAGTCAGTATTTCTCATTTGTAAATGGACATTATAAATGAGAAATTATGGTGTCTGTGTGTGAGAGGGAGGGAGGGAGAGAAATGGTGTGTGGCTCAGATTGAAATAGTTAGGAATAATCCACATTCATCTGAAATCACTTAATCCAAATGTCTATACTTGTTTTATTTCTTTTATGACATATCCCTTCCCTTCCTCCTTTCTCTTCTTCTCCCCCTCCTGTCTTTCATATTATCTTTAGAAACTTCCAAAATTTGGTATGTGAAAAAGGGTGTGAGCATCTCCTAACAGACCTCTTGCAGAGTTTGAATAGAACCATAAAATTGTTAGTTCTTTTTTCTTGCAGGGTAAACCAGCATTTGCTTGATATTGATCATGCCAGGCATGAATTAGAGGGAGACAGGCCACAAATCTTCCTCATCCTGCCACCACCACCCCATTTAGAGAGCTTTAGTCAGTTCTTCTCCATGTTGAAGAGAACATTCCCTCACATCACATGGCAGCTGATGCTAAGGGAGATCTAATTGTACAACCCTCCCCCAACCCATGGTGATTTGAGTCAAGAAACCAGAAAGAGATAAAAAAATCAACCAGGTTTCAAATTACACCCAAATTCCCAAGTGAGGCAAACAAAAACATCCCAAAAGGAGAAGGGAAAATGGAGGAATTTATTCAGATCTGATGTAATGTGCTGAAGTAATTTGAATAAATGGGCAAAGCTCTCTCCTAGGCAGAAATGTTTAATGTTGGTTATCCCAGAGAGAGAGCCTGGGGAAATTTTTCCCAGATACTCACTGAGACAATCTAAGGCAAATCACTGACAGATTTACTCCCCTCATTGTTTGTGATGATATCCTATATTTTAGGAGTATTTTGCAAGTAAGCATGATAAAGACATATTGGAAGGAGTAATACAGATTGGTGAAGTCATTGTTCAGTTTTTCTTTGTAGTTTTAATGGTGGAAAAACAGAAACAGAGCACAGAGTTGAGGTAGCACAGAATATGAGGTGGAGGGGACACAGATACCTAGAAACATAAACTTTACAAAACCAAAAATCTACCCTTATTTTGTTGTAAGCAAACTCTATGGTATGCTGATAGTATTATAAATCTACAATAGTTTTCATCACATTATTTCTGTATACAGGGATAAAAACAATGCCACAGAAATTTATTGTCTGCACATGCAATCTGTTTTAAAGTGCAGATCTATATAGGGATTTGACTACATTGACAGATATATGGGAACTGCCCTGGGATTGAGACAGTTTGATTTCCATTATTTCCCATAAAGTCAATGTGAGTCATGTTGCAGAGTTTTGAATTTCTGGTAAAATCCCCCTTTGCTACGCAATAAAAATACATAGACTCACAGAGGAAAATAGCTACAAATTCCCCAGAGTCCACCTCTTTGTTAATTAACTGGCATTTAAAGTCTCAATAGCTCACTCTGAGACATTTGTAGAAGAAATAATAAAACATTTATTTAAATTACAGTTGCTTGAAATTACTGACTTGTGCATGTTGCTGTCTTTACTGTACATATACTGCCAATCAACTGGACAGATCAACAACAAACAAAACAACTGCTTCCAACAGAGGAAAGAAAGAGAAAAACCCTCAGTAGAGAAGTGGGGCTTTCTTTAAATTCAAAGGAATTATTGGTTAGTGCCAGATAGATATGCAATCTCCTTAGCCCAGAAAAGTCATTTCATGGTTGTTCTGGGTTTTTCGGGCTCTTTGGTCGTGTTCTGAAGGTTGTTCTTCCTAACGTTTCGCCAGTCTCTGTGGCCGGCATCTTCAGAGGACAGCAACCTGTGCTCTGGTCAGGTGCCTGTGCTCGGCATCTTCAGAGGACAGCAACCTGTGCATCCAAAGCACAGGTTGCTGTCCTCTGAAGATGCCGGCCACAGAGACTGGCGAAAAGTTAGGAAGAACAACCTTCAGAACACGGTCGAAGAGCCCGAAAAACCCAGAACAACCATTAGATCCCGGCCGTGAAAGCCTTCGCGAATATAAAGTCATTTCAAGTCACACAAACTACAGATAGCATGTAACGCTGCAAATAAAACTCCAACAAATCAGCCTGGATCTCTCCCCCATCCATACTTTTTCCCTTTATTGATGGGGCTTCTGTTTTTTTGGACACAAATGCATTTGCATTGGTATATGCAGTGTGATCACTTGAAGTGATGTAGAGGGATTTGTAGCCATTGTACCTGAAGCCATTCCAGTTGGCTACAGCAGCAGTGAGCGAGGCAGGGCAGAAGGGAAATTGGCTGTTATTTGAATCCTCTCCTTCCCAAATCTGATGTCTCTATCAGCTTTCACTTTCCCTTCCCTTCACATTTTTTTCTTTCTCTCTCCCTAGGCTAGCTAGCCCAGACTCAGACAGGGGGGAAAAAAGATGGAGAACTTGACAAAGGGAGAGGAGGAAGTGTTTTTTTTTAAATTATTTTATTTAATAACAAAGATAAAACATATATGTACAAACCTGGAAAAAAATAATAACAACAAAACATCAACAATAACTATTAAAAGAGTCCTCCTCCCAATGCATTCTTCCTTTATGGAGCCTTATTCCTTTCCAAAATTCTATTGACATTTCCTCTTTATTAATATAAAATCTACATTTTCTTCCCAAAAATATGTAAAGCAATTTTTATTTAGCAACCCCTACTTTTATTTAGCAACCCCTTCGTCCAGGGGACGTGGTGGCGCTGCGAGCTAAACTGCAGAAGCCTGTGCTGCAGGGTCAGAAGACCAGCAGTCGTAAGATCGAATCCACACGATGGAGTGAGCGCCCGTCGCTCATCCCAGCTCCCGCCAACCTAGCGGTTCGAAAGCATGCAAATGCAAGTAGATAAATAGGGACCACCTCGGTGGGAAGGTAACAGCGAGCCGTGTCTAAGTCGCACTGGCCATGTGACCACGGAAGATTGTCTTTGGACAAAACGCTGGCTCTATGGCTTGGAAACGGGGATGAGCCCCGCCCCCTAGAGTCGAACACGACTGGACAAAAATTGTCAAGGGGAACCTTTACCTTTACCTTACTTTACTTTCATGTTACATGTTAATTTATCATTAATAGCTACATTACAAACCTGTTTATACCATTCATAATTAAAAATCATACTTTATTTTCCATTTGTTTCTACCATTGATATTGCTGCTGTTATTAAATTTGGAATTAATTCTTTAGTTCACCAATTACATTACTCATTATCACATATTGATAAACACACTGTTTTAGGGCATGCCTCTAAATTTAACTTAGTTATTTCATTTATTTCTTTAAAAACCCATTGCCAAAATTTCAATATATTCTTTCATTTCCACCACATGTAAATATAAGTACTTATTTTCTGACATTCTCTCCAATACAACATAGAATAATTCTTACCTATTTGATTTGATTTAATCTCACCAGAGTGAAATGCTATATCAAATCTGATTATTAATATTTTTCCTTTATCCATCCGTTCATTCTTGTATCCCCTATTTTCTCCCAACCTCTGGTACTTTATTATTATCCCAGATCATATTCCCATAATGTTTTAAGCGAATCTTGTTGATTGTTAGCTTCCAATAATATTTTATAAGTTTTACTTACTATTTCTTTCAGTATCTTATATTTATCTGCACTTTCCTTTTGTAATACAATTTCTTCAAATTTCTTGTACTCCTTACATTTACCATTTTTTCTTACCCAATCTTTCATCCACTGGTCTAATTTGTTAAAATTAAACTAAAATATTCTCTTCATTCCTGTTTGCTCTTTATTCCCCAATTTTTCTAGCCAATTTTCATCCTAATAACTTATTTTTCCCTTATTGAATTCTCCATATTTTATTTAAATTTTTCTGGAAGTTTCTAACACTCAATATAATGGAGAAATTCTTGGTGTAAATATTTTTCTACACCTATTCCAAATTAAAAGCATGCTTTTAAGAAAGGTATTTTCAATACTTTTGTCACACTCTTATTAAATTGTATTAAAAGAATGTTCTTGGAGCACAGATATCATTCTTGTGATTCCATGTCTAACCATTTCAATTTATGAGACTGCAAAATAATAGCCAATGTATATCTGAACTGATTGATAACATAAGAGGAGAATGTTTTAAAGTAGCTTTGCTCTAATTGTGCTTCCTGCACATCTGGAGGGTCAGAGCAGAGTTAACCTAAAACTTCTTCCCATCTCTCTGCTCCCTTTTTCTCTCTTAACAAATTGAAAACAAGGCTGTAGTGAAAAATTCCCTGTGTCTCTCTACGTTCCTTGCTTCTCTTTCTCTCTTTGGTCACCTAGCTGTTGTAGCACTAGGAAAGCAAATCTTTGAAAAGGAGGGAGGGAGGGAAGGAAGAGGGAAAACAAACAGATCCAAGCTCCACATGTCGTGAGGAGAGGATTGAAATGGTTAATAAGATGCAAACAAGGCTGATTTCCTCTTCTCTTTCTGCTGATTCCTTTGCGATTGGGTGAAGTGAATTAACCTGGGGAACCTGACTTCCTGCGTAAAACTTCACAGTGGATTTATCTGCATTTTTCTTGCTGTGAAGTCACATCTTAAGTCTATTCAGAAGTCAGTCGCATTGAGTTGAATGAGTCTTACATCCTGGACAAATGGATATAGGATGGCAGCTTCAGCATATATTACATAGACTGAGAGCAAATGCTGTCCTTGCACAGAAAAACTGGATTAAATTTTATGCCTAATACTGCTGTAACTACTTTACTTATGGTCTGTAATATGTTTTTTATCTTTTACTCTTTTCAAAAATATGGATTTCTGAATACAAACATTGGGTAGGGCAAATTCCTCTGGCTTGTAGTATTAACAAAGCAGAACATGTTGCTCAATGTAAACTTTTAGAAATGTGAAGCATCTCCCCTTTCTTCTTATTATACCTAGAAGTAGGCTCCCATTATTAGACTGTGCTTTGAATTTCACCAGATATGAACATGCCAGTCTCCCAAGCAGTAAGAAGTACAGAGGATTGCAGTACCTGCCTTGCAAATGTATCTCTGTGAAATACAGATCTGATATTTTTACTTCAAACCCCAAAGTTTGAGACTGCTTGAATGCAAGAACATGAATTTGTTCATTGACTTTTTTTAAAAAAATCAGAGTTATAACTTCACCAAAGAATAAAAATGGGTTGCTTTATTATTTCCTGACATTTAGAAGAATCCCTGTGAAGAAAATAACAGAACACAATATTCTGTGCCCTTAGCACATAGTTTATAACTATTCTTGTTTTTGTTAGAGGAACAATACGTATCTCTGGAAACTGTTTTGTCCTCATCATGTTCTGTAAAGTAGCATTTGCAAAAGTTACATATCATTGGTGAAAAGGTGCATACATAAGCCAAAAAACAAGGCGGTGGGAATGCAGCCTGTGTTAAGGCCTTATCCAGATGGAGCATTTGTTCTATATTTTGCATCTTGTTAATCAATAATGTTATCAATCTTTTTTTCCCCATCATCCATGTGAGGCAATCTTCTTCTTGGTTCAATCAGCAACAAACCTTTGAGTTTCTGTGTTATTTTAACCTCCTCTTGAAGTATGGTTTTATTTAGCTTGGGTTTTTTTTTCTCTTTTTTTCAGGAGCAGAACTCCCAGATCACAGCTTCCAATCATAAGCTTTCAGCTGTTTTCTAGTAATTCAAGAAAAAGTAGCTCCAGGGGACAGGATAGAAAGGAGAAGTTGGATTTATTTTAAAAAAGAGATTTGTTTTTTTTAAAAGAAGGGATACTGGATAGTAATGCCACATTTCAATGTAAATTTCTAGCCCCTCAAAGTATGGACATTGATTGCTACCGTAAGTATTGTGGTACCAGTTGGGTGGTAGCCCAGATATTATGGTAGGGTGGGCACCTGGCCGTATTTTGAGCAGCTGAGAGAAAGAGCATTCTGTCAGGCATCTCTACAAAAGGTGGCAGTCCAAAAATTATAACTTTAAATTTGGGGTTTAGATCAGCACCAAATTTGGCGTGGTCAGAGCAGACAGTCGGCTCCTGTTCTACCCCAAATTTTCAGAGGTTTTGACAAATGGTTATAAAGTTACGATTTCTTTTTAAAAAAAAAAACACTTATGTATCTCTGTGAAGAAGCATGTGTTCTGCTATGGCAGATCAGGAGCTGCTGAAAAACATTTCGAACTATTAGTTTTCTTTTCTTAAGAGATTAAGAGTTGTCCTTGCCTCTTTTGTTCATTTTGAGTGAATGACATCTCTAAGGTGCTAACATATTGAACCTCAGCGATCGCACTGTTAATGAGGAAAAGCAGTGGCTTTTATAACACTAAGTATGTTTACTGGAAATATTCCAGAAGAATTTCCACTCCCTTGTAGTCTGCCATGAGATTTACAAGGGATCCCAGTAACCTCCCTGTTCCCCTGAGAATTGCTTTGTGTTTGGGTGAGAAGTT